GCAAGGCAGCTATTTTTAGAAAGGGTCCTGGACAGTATAAACAGCTCATTAGTGGGTGGCTGCATTCTACAGAGCCCTGGGAACCACAGTAGTGTCTGCTGCAAAGCTTTGGCTCTTCCCAGTGTCCCCTTGTCCCTACCTGTAGCCTCTGAATGGTTTCTGTTCCAGTCTCCAGCAGACGCTTCTATAAGAAGAGATGTTGCCTTTGCCTGCCACATCTAAATGTCCTTCCTAAGTCCTGGCCTAGGAGAAGGCAAAGTTTCAGAACTGTGCCAGGAAAATATTAAACCACAGTCCTGATGAATGTGGCCATAGCTGGCTTGTTTATTAATTACAATCTATTTTCTCATCAGTTAGTTTAGTGCAGGGACCATGTACAGCCAAGCCCCAGCAATATGCCTGGTACAGAGAAGATGTTTAGTACATATTTGTTATGGAAAATGAATGCATTGCATGCAATCTTTTACTTTGTTCACATTAGAAAACAAAAGCATGCAATTCTCTTTTAGCATTAATAAGTATTGTATTATTAATGATGGAACAAGTTAGAATGATGAAACAGCAGAATGTTATTAAAGGCCAAAGGTAATAAATTCCCTATTTCCTCTAACAGATTCAGAAACATACAGGTAGATGCCTTAGTACAATCATAAAATCTTGCAAGTAGAATGAACACAGGTTACATTTATTTTAAAAATTATAAAGTAGTATACGCTTACAGTAAAAAATTCATACTACACAGATGTGTAGCAAAAGTAAGAGTCTCCTTCTATATCACCCCCTCCAATCCTACTTCCCTTTCTAGAGAAAAGTGCTATTAATGACTCAGTATGTATCTATCAAAACTTTTATGCATTTATAAATATGTACAGTGATTCTACATAAGTAGGATTATGATCTTCATATTGCCCTTGAGTTGATGTTTCATTAATCATCTTTTCACTTCAGTGTAGTTAACTTTTTAGCCACATTGTGGCTATCCTGTAAATTATTTAATTATTCTCGTACTGGTGGGTTTTCAGGTGCTTCCAACATTTCATTCTTAGAACAATTGCTGCAGTAAGCATTTATATGTATGTGTCCATTTCTCATATTTGCTTATATTTTTGTAGAATTGGTCTCTAGAAATGGCATCACTGGGTGAAACTATATGAGCATACAAAATTTTGAGACACTACCAAATGGGTCTCTAAAAATGTTACATTTCCAAAAATCATGTGTTCATGATACATGATTGATGATTGATATAGATGATTGACACGTTCATCAACTGGATTTGACAGTCCCTTGCCTGCATTCTTACCGATACTGAGTATTTTCATTTTTCTCCATTTTAAGCGTGAAAAAATTATATTTCCTTGTTATTTTACTTTTTGTTTTCCTGAATACCTGTGAGGGTGGGCATCTTTTCAGATTTTCCTGGTCATTTCTCTTTCACCATATGTGAATTACCTGTGCCTGTCCTCAGGAGGTAGAAATCTCTATCCTCTTGTGCAACCAATAAGGCTAACACTGGGGATGAGAGTATGAGAGCATGTGTAAATTGTTTGGGATTGTTTGCCTGACACCCATCCACTCTGGCTTCCAAAACCTGGAAGGTTTGGCTTACAGATACTTCACATGACTGTCAAGAGTGCTTTAGTCAACAAATCCAGGCTGGGGAAAAGAAAGAACCTACAAATTGAATTATTATGTATCGGAAAGCAATCAGGACTCCCATCACTGGAAGTAAGCAGGGTAGCACTAACATTTGATGCATTACTACAGTTTTAATATAAGGTTAATTGGGATTGGGTAAAGACAGAGGGCAAGCCCCTGTTCCTCTAAACCAGTATAGGGTCCCCATTAATCTTTAGGATTGTGGAGTGGGATGATCCCTTATAACCCCATGGAAAGCCTTGGAAAAAGAAAACGATAGGTTTGTGTTCTTTAACTGCCAACCCAAGGGATGCTTTGAAAGCCAGAAAGTTTCTACGGCGCTCAAAAGTTGACTCATCTCCTGCAGATGTACTGAAAACTAGGCTCAGATCTGATTATAAAGGTAGCAGTGCTGCAAAGGAGACTAGATAGATGCACAGCCTCAGTGAAGCTCCTGCATCAAAGTCAGGGCCCTGATTGAGGAAGAAAGCGACCCTGAGACTGGGTATAAGGAACATGTTGGTGGATCAGTCTGAGATTCTTAAATTTCAGATTTACCTGAGCTGTATTACCTGTCAGAAATAGTTCTTTCCCCTGAAGAAAAGTCTTCCCTTGCCTGAAGAATGTACCATAACCTTACATGAAGCACATGCCTCACAAGAGGACGCAGATTCTCCTCAAGAATCCCCCTCAAGAATCTTCCTCCTTCCCCTGCCCCTTATTTTATAGACTTAAAACCAGAGTCAACTCAAAGCACCGCCTTAGAAGAGAAATACAAGCCCTACTTTTGGAATAAATGACTTACATACCAAAGGAATTACAGAACCTTGCTAACTAATATGCACAGAAAGAAATAAGGTAAAATATATGATCTCAAAGATGTTTTTCCAGTGGGAAAAGTGTACAACAGGCGGGAGAAGGGAAATTCATTGACATACGAATATTCCCATGACTCAGGGTGCCTGGAATAATTAGTTCTACAAGTTTTCTTTGATGGCTTGTTGAACCCTGGACATGAAGAAGGATAAGAGTAAATGAAGTGGATCTTCCAGAATTTCCTTGGCATGGTATTAAATTGGTTCTTGGTATAGGAAACATTAGAATGGATTTAATATGTAAGGTCTAAGAACTTGAAACCTGTGTTCTCCAAGAGGGCCAAGCACTGTCCTGAGGTAATAAGGAATGCACTGATGAGAAGCCCCTGGAATTTATTGGAAAAGCCTGGTAATCGCTATTTCTGCAGGTTGGATAATCTCTGTTTCCTGCAGACACTGAGACAAGCTTTCATGAAATGGGGCTCCTTGATGTAAGTGGGGATTTTGGGATTCCAGAATGGCAGCAGCTAGAAGATAGCACTTTCAAAGGCAAAATGGTGTAGGCATTTCAAAGGCAGCAAGGCCAGAGTGGCAATCAGGGTGCCTCCATTTACAATACCTATGGCAACAGATGAAAAATAGCATGCATCTAGGTGTGACATAGATGAGCACCCAACCAAAATTTTGCTTGATTTTTTGGCATTAGCTTTATTATTTTTGTTAAAATGACGTGTACAAATTGTAAGAAATCCAATGTATATCAAAAATTACCCCAAAAGTAATATTCTCACCAGAGAACACCAACTTTACCTTTTTGGTGACCATTCATCCCAGTATCATGAGATTTGGCTGTATGTGCTGTTTCTTTAATCTGCTTCTTTAGCTCAGTTTTCTACAGGCATCCTTGCTTATCAGTGACAATAGTCAAGAACTTTGACTATACAAGTACAGTATGACATCGTTTTATGAGCCTCAACATTGGGCCAGATTGTCTCAGTTCAAATGCCAGGTTTACCAATTTCTAGCTTTGTGAAAATAAATTGAATTCCCCACACCCCGATTTTCTCACCTCTAAAATTGGTATAATAACCATACATAGTTACTTAGACTCTTGTGAGGATTAAAGGAGAGTTAATACATTGATCAATGCCTGACAAGAGTCACCTGTTATTAGCCATTGCTTTAGTCTCCTAATAGTGGAAATTTATTTTTTAAAAAATTTGCATAAACAATGTTGCAGTGAACATCCTTGCCCCTACATCTTCTTATATTTGTGATTATTTTCTTAAGAAAATTCCCAGAAAAGAGATCTCCAGAGGAACAGTCATGATCCTTTTTCCTGAATATATTTTGTATTTTTCAGAATTTAAAGTTTAAATTTAAACTTTAAAGTTTCTAGCATGTGAATTGTGTCCTCCTGGATTACACATGTAAATATGGATGTGTCCTAGTATCTCTTTTTATTATTAAATAGGATTTTGAACTTGGGGGAGAGGTAAATTAGAAAACAAGAGCTCATATTGACATGCGGTGTTTCGTGACTCTTAAATTACTTCTAATTCCATCCCCTGCATGTTTTGGCATGAATACAGGAGCACTGAATCTTGACCAGGGTATCATGTTTAGAACAAGTGAGTGAGATCAGTGACCTTGTGCTAATAACCATGATCCTTTGGAAAGTGGTTTCTATAACATGATCTAGTAGCTTAATGGATGATATCTGAGTCTTGAGAAAAAAATTTCATCGATTCATCCCACTTTGGCATCCAGATGTAGCATTTAGATGCTTCCCAGTTCTCCCATCCATGACAAGTGATTCTCATGGCAGTATTTACTGGCAGGGTTCCTATTCCACGGTGCCTTGTCTGTGAGCCTGTGAACCATTGTTAATTTCCCTCTAGAGAAAGGAAGCTTCATTCATTTCACTCCCTATATTCCATCTCTATGTTCTGCTCCTCTAAGGAAACCTCTACCTTGACTCTCTGTCCTTTTCCTTAAAATTTAACTTAATCTTGTCCCAAAACATTTTTCCTAACTTAACTTCTCAGTGCCTCTCTCTAGACCAGATTTTCATGTAACAGATCTGTTTTAGCAAAAAGCTCATCCATTCCTTTCTTTGCATGTGTTCTAGAATACGGAGCCTGGGAGGTGGTAAAGTCAGGCATTGAAATTGATTAAAACTGGTCTTAATTCATGTTTTTGTGAATTTGTTCTTCATTCATGCTTCCATTCAGTTTTTTACATAGGTGTCATTCATTTTCTTAGTCATTATGCAATCATTCGTGCATGAAATAGATTTATAGTCTATATGCCTGCGTTCAGTTTTCATACATTTATCTCAGTATCCACTCATTCATTCATGCTTTAATTCATTTAGTTATTTAACTCAATCATTCATACCCTATTATCCATGAGATGCTTATTTCACATTGCACGGCTGTGTCAAAACATCTCATGCACATCATAAATATATATACTTACTATGTACCCACAAAACATAAAATAAAAATAAAATAAAAAATAATTCAATTATTCATTTGCATAGAATTCATGTATCAATTATTTATTCATTTGTTTCTTCTATATCAGTCAGGAAGCAAGAAACCAATGGCACACTCAAATTTAGATGATTTGAAGGGATTATTTACAAAGGTGTAAGCAGAATATAAGACCACAAGGGTTAGTGTAGCACTCTATGGCCAGCATCAGCTTAGCGCTATTACCATCCCTGGAGCTGAAAAAACAAGGGAAGGGATAACCTGAAGCCTCATATTGAAGGATGCATTAGGCCCTTGATGCTCTATATGGGAGGGAATCTGGGCATAAATATTAACATCTAATGCTCCTTCCTCTCCTGCTCACGCCTCCTCACCCCCAATATTGTTTGAATGGAATTGGAAGTCAGTGTGTAAGAGAGAGACAGAGGTGGTTCCCACTGATTAGCCTTCTGGGGCACAGGGCAGTAGAAAGTGGGGAGGAAAGAGGGTCTGGAGAAGAAGAGGAAGGATATTCACATACCCTCTGAGGTGCTAAGGATGGGCAGCACTGTGTTTCTCTTTGTCTTTCCTACTAGTGAGAAAGAAACAGCAGAAATGGGCTGGAGTATTCTGTCCAGGAAACTATTTTCACACCAGAAAGCCACACAGAATGGAATCAGCCTGGCTATCCATGAATCTTTGGATTATGCCTCTTTGGTGAAGTCTTTTGGGTTCCTCTACTACTTCCAACCAAGAAGGGCACTCTCTTCTGTGACAATATTTTGCACTACATATCATGAGGACACAGAGTGTGTCTTACTTGCCTTATGTCCCCAGAGCCTAGCCAGGGCCTGGCACAGAGTAGATGTGGCATGAAAGGATGAATGGATGTATGAATGCTTGAATGAAAGGATGCTGAGTATAAGGAGGTAATAGACTCTTGACTTTTTTTCACAGTCCCACAAGGTGGCAGCAATTACTATGGTCCAATTTTTATGTGTAGAATTCAGATACACATCTTCATCAAAGGTCTCCTGAATAGGATACGTCTATTTTTAAAATTATTATATCAAGGAGGGAATAATGCACTGAGAGAAAGAAAGGAAAAAAATTAAATATTTACTACCACGAATATGTAGACATATAATAGATATGGCACTATATATTTTACTTTAAAAGGCTTAATACCTGGGTGATGGGGTGATCTGTGTAGCAAACTACCATGGCATGTTTACTTATGTAACAAACCTGCACATCCTGCACATGTACTCTTGAACTTAAAAGTTGATGAAAAAAAATGAAAGCAGGACTTCAAGGAGATTTGCACACCCATGTTCAGAGCAGTAAGCAATCCAAATGTCCTTTGATGGATGACTGAATAAGCAAAATATAATGTATGCAAAAAAAAAACGCATTTAGAAAACATGTGTCACTAAATTTGAAAAAGAAATAAAATTTTCCCTCTGTGAAAACGTTAGATACACGAATTACATTTGCCTTGTGTGGTGTCTATGTTATCTGGTTACCAAAAAGTCACTTGTTGAGTTCTTCCTGTACACCTGGTCCTGTTTCTGGACTTCGAAGCTAAAAATTTCATAGATTCTGGTTTCTTGGGTAGCTTGGCTTCTTTCCCATCTTCTCTCCAGCTACTTCAGTCTTTGCAGAGACCATACATTGTGCTCCTTATCCTGGGCTGTAAATTCTTGAATTTGTCACTGTTTCAAGTCATATTAACTTCTTAAAAAGAGCACCACTTTTTTAAAAAAGTTACTAAATTTTCTTAACAAGCTCAGGGATGATGGTGTCTCAGTGAAGTCAACAGTACCTTACTATCATTGAAAGTACTTAAAATTCCTGTGTGTCTTAGAAATCAACAGTATCATTTCTTCATTAAAAAAAATTTTTGTTTTAACTTGCAGAAATCTTGCTTGGAGTTTTATTACTTTTGCACTGTAGCAAAGATTACTAAAACTGATCTTCAAAGTTATTAGCAATTCTGGATTTAGCATAAATTTTGTCTTCTAACTTTAAGGAAAGCCATGTCCAAGAGAATAAGAAAAAGAATTTTAAGTAAAAGAAGACTCTTTTTTATGATCAAGAGGTCACGCCGGGTGTGGTGGCTCATACCTGTAATCCCAGCACTTCGGGAGGCTGAGGAGGGTGGATCACGAGGTCAGGAGATTGAGACTAGCCTGGCCAACATGGTGCAATCCTATCTCTAAGAAAAATACTGAAAAATTAGCTGGGTGTAGTAGTGAGCACCTGTAATCCTAGCTGCTCAGGAGGCTCAGGCAGGAGAATCGCTTGAACCCAGAAAGCAGAGGTTGTGGTGAGCCAAGATTGCGCCACTGTACTCCAGCCTGGACAACAAGAGCAAAACTCCGTCT